CTAGATTCAAAACGGTTAGCTTGTAATAATGATTTTAATTCCAGTGGTACTGGTGGGTTTCCGCGGGAAATTCAAGCAAGTCTTTGCGTCATTACGTCACACCCGTACACATTAAGAAGGAGTTTCGGCTAGCCGGCTATTCTGCATGTGACGAGATGTTTAGATGTATAGGCTTTTCTCGCAGCACTTTAGATAATTAAACTTATGGCATCCAGAAAGATCCAAACAACAATCATCAGTGTCAACTGGAGATTCAGCAGTTATAAAAAAGACTTCGTACTTCGGATTTAAGGTGGCTAGAGAAAGAGAAAGAAACCGTCTCATGCGAACACAAGGATTTAAACATCGGCGGGGCTTTTGAAAAGTGCGTGAACTCCGTGTTTTGAAGGGGTTCAAAACGGAAGAAGAGACGGCTTTTTTCTGCTGAACAAGTAAGACATTTCAATAGTTCAATCGTGTAACAGTACGTTTTCTTAATTCACACAGTTATGGAGTTTCCTTGTGCCTTTCTCGTTTTGCTATTATGGAGAATATGAATTCTGAACTACCAGGTAACCATAAAACACATTAAATTTAACATTAGTCACGCAATGCTGATGTTGTTAACATGAACAATTTGAGAACAAAGTAGGCTATGATTTGCACGGTTGCTGCAAATCGCGTTGATTAAATCTAACGAAGCTTATCATGTCGAATGCTTTTTCCCCCTTAGTTGGTCAGAACAAAAATGGATTTTACTTACTTGTTCAGAAGACATTTTCTTATGAAAATTCTTATGTTGGTCAAACTTTCAAAAAGTGAATCTGTGATTCTGTATGACAGTATCCACACAGCGCGGTGACTGACAGCAGCACTCGCCTCAAAGCACTGTGTTCATCCGCGCTGTTTCATGCCGATTTACAACCCACGTAAAGATGATAATTCCGCGAATCACTGCAGTTACAGATTTCGAACAGAGAGGAAAAGATATGGACTGCAGCTTTAACCGAAGCTAATTTGGGTGGGTTTCTCCCATCCCCATACAATGTCACTTCTCTGTCTTTTACGGCGCTGACAAGAACGTTGGTCTCCTCGGCTGTGAACCGCTCCTGGCGTGCGCCTGGCAAATCCGCCATTATAATAGCAATCCGCCATGGAACAAGCGCGCCTGCTTTTAAAGGGAATGTGAGATGACGCTCTGAATGGTTTATTCCACGTTTCGCCCAAACCACACCTATGAGCAATGTAGCTACTTCAGACCAACCCATTTTAGATTTGCGTCGGGCACAAGTCATTTATCCCGCCGGTAAAATAGCAACAGAGCCCGAGATCCGCCCACAAAGTTACTTGCGTTTCGCGTTTGATTCTTGCATTTCAGATCGTTAAAATAGGGCCAAAGAGATGTTTAGCATGTCTGCTGATCACTATTCACTACATTTATTGTGTAAAATGTATAAAAAATCATGTCGGTAACACTTTACAATACGGGTGCACTAATAAGCATTAATTCATGCTTAACTAATGCACAGATAATACTGAATTAATGTGTAATTAATGATTATCTAAGCTATTCATTAATGATTACCACATTAGGAACTAATTAAGAGTCTGTATGGTTAATGTATTAGTTCATACATTAATTGCTATAAATTAAATATGTAATTGTGGATTAATTCCCTAATAACTAATTTTTTTAACTAATAGTGTTAATTACCAGAATGAGCCAAAGCCTTGTATTTCAACGTCCAGATAATACAGGTACACTAATATGCATTAATACATGATTAATTAATTCATTGTTAGTGAAAATTCATGTGTAAATTACAATTACTAAATGACTAGTTAATAATGATATGCCTCAACAAGTAAAGTCACAACATAATTATATATTTGCAAACCATTAGCTAATGATTAATTTATCATTAATGACCATCACTAGAGTTTATAAAAGCTGTTTATTAAACACTTTCCAAAAACACATTTCCATAAAATATTACGGTAACACTTTACATAACCATAATTACATATTACTTAACAATTAGTTAATAGTCATGCGCCTCAACTAGTAAAGTCATAACATAATGATCAAATCATTAGCTAATGATTAATTAAAGCAGACAACTGGAAGTTGAAGTGCATAGCTTTGACTAATTGTGGTAATTAACACATTAATTTACACTATTAGTTAATAAAATATGTTATTAAGGAATTAATACACAATGACACATTGAATTAATAGCAATTCATGTATTACTTAATCTATTAATCACATTGACTCTTTATTAGTTGCTGATGCAGTAATAATTAATTAATGGTTTAGTTCTTCATGAGTCATACATTAACTCATGATGTGCATTAGTTAAACATGAATTAATGCACATTAGTGCACCCGTATTGTAAAGTGTTACCATAATGTCATACTCAAAGTTTTGAAAGATACAAAGTGGAGTAAAAAAATGATTTTACAAACTTTTCATTTGTGGGTGTAGTTTTTCTTTTCTTGCCTCTTTTTTTTTTTTTTAAACCTGTGCTTTTCCCTTCAAAATACTGATAAAATTGGGAAATTGAAAAAAAGAAGAAGCAACTAGCACAAGAAGCATCCATCCATCATTCCATCTTCTTCCGCTTATCCGGGGCCGGGTCGCGGGGGCAGCAGTCTAAGCAGAGATGCCCAGACTTCTCTCTCCCTAGACACTTCCTCTAGCTCTTCCGGGGGGACACCGAGGCGTTCCCAGGCCAGCCGGGAGACATAGTCTCTCCAGCGAGTCCTAGGTCTTCCCCGGGGTCTCCTCCCAGTGGGACGTGCCCGGAACACCTCCCCGGGAAGGCGTCCAGAAGGCATCCGAAACAGATGCCCGAGCCACCTCAGCTGACCCCTCTCGATGTGGAGGAGCAGCGGCTCTACTCTGAGCTCCTCTCGAGTGACCGAGCTTCTCACCCTATCTCTAAGGGATCGCCCAGCCACCCTGCGGAGAAAGCTCATTTCGGCCGCCTGTATCCGGGATCTTGTCCTTTCGGTCATGACCCAAAGCTCATGACCATAGGTGAGAGTAGGAACGTAGATTGACCGGTAAATCGAGAGCTTTGCCTTACGGCTCAGCTCTTTCTTCACCACAACAGACCGGTACATCGACCGCATTACTGCGGAAGCTGCACCGATCCGTCTGTCAATCTCCCGTTCCATCCTTCCCTCACTCGTGAACAAAACCCCAAGATACTTAAACTCCTCCACTTGAGGAAGGATCTCTCCACCAACCTGAAGCGAGCAAGCCGCCCTTTTCCGACTGAGGACCATGGCCTCGGATTTGGAGGTGCTGATTCTCATCCCAGCCGCTTTACACTCGGCTGCAAACCGTCCCAGTGCATGCTGAAGGTCCTGGTGTGAAGGGGCCAACACGACAACATCATCCGCAAAAAGCAGAGACGAAATCGCGTGGTCCCCAAACCTGACACCCTCCGGCCCCTGGCTGCGCCTAGAAATTCTGTCCATAAAAATTATGAACAGAACCGGCGACAAAGGGCAGCCCTGCCGGAGTCCAACATGCACCGGGAAGAAGCACCGCACAAGAAGTATGTTAAATTAGAATTAAATGTAGTTTATTTTATTTGTTGTTAAAGAGTTGATATATGTGAAATAGAAATGTCAAGGCATTTGAAGCAGATATTTTTCTCATTTATGTACTCCTCTGACTAACTCTACTGCTTCTAATTACAAGCGGCCTTTCATTAAATTGGTCTTACAATTAGATCTTAGAATTTTTTCTTTTCTTTTATTCACAACCAGAAGAAACATTTATTTTCAGAATCATCACAGTAAAAACAGAACCATGTAAATGGTTAACACAGTATTAATATGGATGACATATTTTGCCCAATGGCTTTTCCTGAATGTTTTTTCCTATTGTCAACATAAATGCTCTTGTTCTCATATCCTGAACTTCTGACTAACAAGTCAATTTCGAAATAATTTTAAAATAATTGCACTTAAAGGTGCAGTAAGCGATTTCTGAGAAACACTGTTGATATTTGAAATCAACTCAAACAAACACACCCCTCCCTTCATTGCTCCGCCCCCAAAATGCACGAACACACATAGCTAAAGCGAAGCAAAATAATACTTCATGAAAAGTTAAGCGAAGATGACGAACGAATGTCAAACAAAAAATGAACACAGTACACAAGAGTAGGCTGTACAAGCAAAAGTTGGTTGTTAGTGTCCAGCTGCACACCAGCTCCAGACAAACAATGACACTCAAAACTGTCCTGTTACTAGCTAACATAACAACAGCATATCTTGGTTCTGTGAAACATAGCAAAATTAGTGTTACTCACGTATGGAGCAGAAACAACACAGCCTTGTGTCCATTTTCAGGCCTCTCTGCTCAGGTCTCTCGAGCACTGGAAAGCTTTTCTAATATTAATGCGGGTCCTAAAGCTCTTGCCTGGTCATAACCCTTCTTTCCCCAGTGATAGTTTTCTGACCTTTTCTCTTTTGTAATGTCTCTCAGCCACCTCTCTTTCTACAGTCTTTCTTCAAATCTCTCCTCCCCCATCATAAGTGTGCTACTGCTGATTGGCTGCAAGTGTGTTGTGCTGCTCGGTCCGATCCACTTTTAACAGCTTTTCTCAGAAATCGCTTACTGCACCTTTAACTAATAACATTTTTTATGAACAGCTTTGAATTTTAACTTATACTTCTTAACTTCTTTCTTAAGAATATTTTCATGAATCTGGCCCATTATATGTGCCACGTACAGTATATAGATGTGAGAGACCAATTCATTTCACTTGTTTGAAAAGTGTTTTTTTGTTGTTAATCCTACCACTTAAATCAAATGTCTTGAAATATCGCTTGTCATTCATATTCAAATCCTGTCTAAGATCAATGGCTTTCCTTTCCTTCACCTGAATACCATCACATTCTCCTAAACTGATGTTTGAGCTGACAATCAGCTTCCAATAGGAATACATAATTTTTATCCATACTCAAATGTTACCTTTTTTATTCAGGAAAAATTCAGGAGAGCTCTGTCAGCTACTTCACTGCTCTAGCAAACAGCATTAAGGCATCATATAAGCCGAGTTGGGCTATCTATTGTGCCTCATATGAAATACTCTTTCTTGCTCTCATCCATGGCGTCCTGCAAGGCTGGGTCTCTACGAAGAGCGGAGTCTGCTGTCTCAGAAAACTCTGTGCCCTTGGCCTCATTGGTGTGATATGTGCCCTTGTGTTTGTACATGTATCGCAGAATGACGCCCAGGAGGAGGAGCAGGACCAGAACCACCACAGCAATGACAGCTAGAAGAGAGAGAGAGCGAGAGAGAGAGAGAGAGAGAGAGAGAGAGAGAGAGAGAGAGAGAGAGAGAGAGAGAGAGAGAGAGAGAGAGAGAGAGAGAGAGAGAGAGAGAGAGAGAGAGAGAGAGAGAGACTTGACTTTAACACTATGATTAGTAAAACATTTTTTTTCTAAAACAATATTGCCAAACAAATTGGCCTCATCACATATATCATAATATGTACATTAACATCAAATACATGTACATTCACACACAGACAAGAAAAGAAAAAGAATAAAAATAATTACAAGGAATACATTTTCCTCTTGGTCAACCACACATAACACTTCTGTCTGTCCCCAAAACTCACTGAATGCAACCACATTTTTTGTTAGTTTAAAAAAAAAAGCAAATTCTGCTTTAATCCTTGCAGATACAAAAGCCTTTAAAATAAGCTCAGGTTCAGTCGTTCCGCTGTTTTTCCGCTTATTTTTCCTTGTAATCCATATTGCCAGCTTTGCCTCACCAATTAAAAAATTTATTAAAGAAATTCTTTTTTTAATCTGTTGCAACATATTTTGGGCCAAATATAAATATATTTTCATCCATATCTTCTCCAAGTGTTCTAAGCCAACTCTTTAAAATATGAAACAAACCATTTAGTCTAGAACAATCTAAAAATAGATGCTTCAAAGTTTCTTCAAGACCACAAAAGACACATTCCTTCCCCACAGTGGGGTCAACACGTACCAAGTATCTATTAGTTGCAATTGCTGAATGTACAATCCTCCACTGAAGATCTGCAGTGCGTTTTTCTATAGGTGATTTATACAAGGACCTCCAACATCTCCTAGGAGATGAGCCCTGCATGGCCAAACACCTCCGACCACTTTGATTGTTTACAGTTCTTCAGTTCAGATTGATGAGAGACTTTCACACATGATAAATACAAGGCTTTCTTTGAAATGTCTTCAAACAAATTCAGTTCAGGTATACAGAAAACAAGAAGTGATTCTTTTTTGGGCTTTTCATCTATTATCATTGAAATCTGAAGTTTTGGAAAACTTTCATTTCATCCTCTTGTTTACCACAACGATTTTCTTGTATACTTTGTCTGTAGATAGAAGGAAAAACTGAAAAAATGTCCTTCATTATTTTATCCATAAATCTCACAGACTTAATGCCCGTCAAACTACAAAGTTCTTGGGGACTTTTCCACTTGTTTCTGTTCTTTAGATCAGACAAACATGTGCATTCTGCTCTCACCATTGATGTTTGCAAACTTCTCATTTTCAACACATTTGCTTGTATTAGGGGATTGTTAAAAAGTGGTTCATTTTTTATCCAACCTTCAAGGTTTGAATCTCTCCTTACTTGAAAGACAGAATTCCACACTTTCAAAACTGATTTATAAAACGTAGAAGAATCATTCCATTCCATATCTTTCAGACTGATTAAAAACAGATTAAAATCATATATAAACCAATTCATACTGCGTAATAAGGAACAAGCCGTATCAGCCCAACAGATTTTTTCCAGAGTACAGCAACTTCTGTGCTGCCTGCAGCCTGAAGGCCTTGATTCTGCTCTTTATATCTATTAAGCCTTGTTCACCTTCACTGACTGGCAAATATAAAATAGCAGATTTTACCCAGTGCTGACCAGACCAAAAGAAATCATTTATTTTCTTTTGTAGTGAATTAACTACTTCATCAGGTGGATTCAACACGTTTAGTTTATGCCAAAGTGCTGAAGCAGCCAGATTGTTTGCGACCAAGACTCTCCCCCCTAAATAATAACTGAGGCAGGATCCATGTCCACCGTGACAAACGGTCACACATCTTTTCATACATTCCTTCCCAGTTCTTCTGAATATAGTTGTCAGTTCCTAAATAAATATCCAATATTTTCAGGGCTTCTTTAACCCATTTCACACCTCCTGGTAAGACTGGTGGCTCTTCTTCAGACCAATTTTCTAAAATAAAACCTTCCCTTTTTTCCCATTTTTACCTTTAAACGCATTAAACTTTAGTTTCCAAAGACGTGAAACAAATTGAGAAAGAATATCCGATGTCTCTGAAAACCTGTCATCATCTTCCATGTCATCTTGTTCCTCAGCATCAGTTAACTGGGACAAACAAATCTGCCCAGTATTTTGTGCATCATTTGTAACAACATTTGGTAACTTCCTTCGTCTTCATCATCACCATCATTAACCTCTAAACATGGATTTTCTCTCTTTTCAGTACCAACTATAGCCTAAACTATTCTTTCTATTCTTCTTACTGCTCATCCCTTCATCTGCATTTCCTTCTTGTTTTTCTCATCAATTCACGAGGTCACACTTACATATAATTAGAGTGGATAATTATATTTTAATTATATAAAATATAAAACCCCCCTATGTAGGTGTTTAGGACTGGAAGTGTGGAGAAGGGGAGGTGGAGGGATGCTGCTAAACTATCAATGGAGTGAGGTGAGATTGCTGAATCTATATACACTCACCTAAAGGATTATTAGGAACACCATACTAATACTGTGTTTGACCCCCTTTCGCCTTCAGAACTGCCTTAATTCTACGTGGCATTGATTCAACAAGGTGCTGAAAGCATTCTTTAGAAATGTTGGCCCATATTGATAGGATAGCATCTTGCAGTTGATGGAGATTTGTGGGATGCACATCCAGGGCACGAAGCTCCCGTTCCACTACATCCCAAAGATGCTCTTTTGGGTTGAGATCTGGTGACTGTGGGGGCCATTTTAGTACAGTGAACTCATTGTCATGTTCAAGAAACCAATTTGAAATGATTCGAGCTTTGTGAAATGGTGGATTATCCTGCTGGAAGTAGCCATCAGAGGATGGGTACATGGTGGCCATAAAGGGATGGACATGGTCAGAAACAATGCTCAGGTAGGCCGTGGCATTTAAACGATGCCCAATTGGCACTAAGGGGCCTAAAGTGTGCCAAGAAAACATCCCCCACACCATTACACCACCACCACCAGCCTGCACAGTGGTAACAAGGCATGATGGATCCATGTTCTCATTCTGTTTACGCCAAATTCTGACTCTACCATCTGAATGTCTCAACAGAAATCGAGACTCATCAGACCAGGCAACTTTTTTCCAGTCTTCAACTGTCCAATTTTGGTGAGCTCTTGCAAATTGTAGCCTCTTTTTCCTATTTGTAGTGGAGATGAGTGGTACCCGGTGGGGTCTTCTGCTGCTGTAGCCCATCCGCCTCAAAGTTGTGCGTGTTGTGGCTTCACAAATGCTTTGCTGCATACCTCGGTTGTAACGAGTGGTTATTTCAGTCAAAGTTGCTCTTCTATCAGCTTGAATCAGTGGGCCCATTCTCCTCTGACCTCTAGCATCAACAAGGCATTTTCGCCCACAGGACTGCCGCATACTGGATGTTTTTCCCTTTTCACACCATTCTTTGTAAACCCTAGAAATGGTTGTGTGTGAAAATCCCAGTAACTGAGCAGATTGTGAAATACTCAGACCGGCCCGTCTGGCACCAACAACCATGCCATGCTCAAAATAGCTTAAATCACTTTTCTTTCCCATTCTGACATTCAGTTTGGAGTTCAGGAGATTGTCTTGACCAGGACCACACCCCTAAATGCATTGAAGCAACTGCCATGTGATTAGTTGATTAGATAATAGCATTAATGAGAAATTGAACAGGTGTTCCTAATAATCCTTTAGGTGAGTGTATACACCTTTTATCATTGATTGCTGACTGAGTGCACTCCACTCTTGTTAATTAACTGAACGTGCTCCTCCCGAACTTTGTTAATAAAACATAATTTGTTGTTTTGTTTGGTTTCTCACTGATTTCTACATTTTCACCAATCTGTACACTAGAAATAACTTCAATATCATTTACATTATTTTCTAGCTGCGTTTTGTTATGTGGGCAAGCAATCTTTTTATGTCCAACGTCACACTCGAAACACTTCAAATTTACGGTACTCGCGTAAATCATGTACGATTTACCCTCATGTTTGATTCGAAAAGAAATATCTAGCGTTTGTTGATCAAGAAACAAACACCTGACGCCGAAACGACAGCACGTGTTTCAATGCTTCATTCCTACACCTCAACGGAATAATTTTCACTTCACTGGCCATTTTTCCAAACCTCAACAATTCTTTTTGAACGTCACTATTTAATATAAAGAGGGGCACATTAGAAATCGTGACTCTAACAGACTGCGACACAAGCGGTGACACAACAGTAAATGCTCCATTTACCCAAACGTCAGTTTCAGTTAGTTTACTCAGCAAACTTTCATCTTTAAGGAAAACCACCAAGGCTTTGTTCATCCTTGACGCTGAAATTATATTTCCGTATCCAATCTGTTCACCAACAGCGATAAGCACGTCTTCCACATTAGAATCCGCGTCAGGTAGGCTACACACTGACTCCATGGCGGAGCGAGAGTGAGGCTACACCTCCACTCAGGTGAGCCTCCATCTCAGGCCTCCGCCACGAAGTCGAAAACTTCCGAAAACCGAAGCGTTTATGATACTCGAAATTAAGTTAATCGATTTATACACAAAGCAAAAGAAACCATAAAAGAAGAAAAATAGAAAATAAAAAATCTAGAAAAATAGTAGAAAACCCCAAATTGCTCTTCTCACCCGTTTGTTGCTCCCATAACCCAAACCCCCAGCATGCAGAGAGAGAGAGAGAGAGAGAGAGAGAGAGAGAGAGAGAGAGAGAGAGAGAGAGAGAGAGAGAGAGAGAGAGAGAGAGAGAGAGAGAGAGAGAGAGAGAGAGAGAGCTTCTGTGGATGAGAACAAACCCACACACTGATTATTCATGTGTAAATGAGCTAAAGTGAGACCACTGTGGCACTGGTCTTTTCTTTTTCTTTTTTTTTTTTGCTCAGCCAGAGATCTTCTGAGGCTAGGAAACATCTTGTGCACAAATTACCTCTCATTTGTACAGAAATCATCCAAGCCTCTCTGACCATCATCAATGTGCTGTTCTCAAAATGTTCTGGAGGCAAA